ATTTTTATATAGGTGATATGGTTTCTAATTGACTAATATCAGTATTATTTTATTTTATCACCTTGGTGTAAGTTGTCACTAAAAGTTATCTTATCATTTTAAAATTTATAAATTTATAATTTCATGATTTTAAATGTATAAATTGTAAAATTATGAAATAATAAAATGATATAGTTATAAAATTGGAAAATTATAAATTCTAAAATTTTAAATTTTAAAAATAAGAAAATAAGTTAAAAAATGATATTTTAACATACATGATTTTTTTACATTCATTTAACACTACACTTCCTTATTTTTTACTTAATTCTTTCTCGAAAAACTACAAAAATTCATTCTTGAGGTTACTCCCTACACCACCCTACATTGCTCCCTGCACTACCACATTTTTTTAGAATTTCAAAAATATCCTTTATATTTTAAAATATCACACATCCCACATTTTTTCTTCCACGGATGTCGATATCCGTTCAAGAAAATATAGTTCAACGGATATGTCACATCTGTTAACGGATGTGGCTACATTCGTTCAAGTTATTTTTTAGTTTTTCGTTTATTAATTTAATATTTTTTATATGATTAATTAAACGGATGTGTCACATCCGTTAAGTTTTTTTTTTAGTTTTTAGTTTATTAATTTATTATATTTTAAATTAATATATAAATATTATTTAATTTTCTTTTAAATTTATTAGATAATTATATATAAATTTATTTTATTTTATTTAATAAAATAATTATTATTAATTTAATTTTTATATTTTTATTTAATTAATTATTATAATGTTTTTCAAAATATTAATTAACGGATGTGCTAAGTTTTTTTTTAGTTTATTAATTTATTATATTTTAAATTAATGTATAAATATTATTTTACTTTTTAAAAAATTTATTACATTGTTATATATAAATTTATTTTATTTTATTTAATAATATGATTATTATTAATTTAATTTATGTATTATTATTTAATTAATTATTATAATATTTTTTATATTATTAGTTAAACGGATATGAATGTGGCCACATTTGTTAGGACTATTTTTTTAGTTTATTAATTTATTATATTTTAAATTAATATATAAATATTATTTACTGACGAGGGTGGGAAGTGATCGTCGGTGCAAGAGGCATGAAGTGCAAGGGCCACAAACAAAGAGCGGCTCCTGACAGGCTTCCAGTGGAAGGGAAACATGGATAAATCAAACATACACCGGAATGAGAGAGATCTAGAGACTGTATAGGTACGGGACTATACAGTTGAAGGATAGCTTAAATGGATTGATTTGGCTACTCATATTACCAAAATGCATTTGCTTTTCGGTAGCCTAATGGGTGACCTTCTGAGAAGTTTTCTCGAAAATTGTTATTACTTATAATTTTATTTTATTTAATAAAATAATAATTATTAATTTAATTTATGTATTATTATTTAATTAATTATTATCATATTTTTATATAATTAGTTAAACTGCCACATCCGTTAACTTTTTTTTTAAATTTTTAATTTATGGATGTGGTCACATTTGTTGACGGATATCAACATCTATTGAAGGTGAAACGGATGTGAACATTCGTTTTATTGGAATGACAAATTAGGTATGGGGTGGTACAGGGAGTGGTGCAGGGAGTGGTGATGGTGGAGAGAGCAACACTCTTCATTGTTTTAAGAACATTTTATCCTTGTTAGGTTTATCAGATAAATGTCAATGTGTGTCATCTTACTCTTACTCAATAAATTATTGTAACAGCTGAACAAGTACCAATTAAATAACATAAATTCGATTGAAAAATAAAAATTTATTGATTAGTAAATAAGCCATACAATTCTATTAGGAATTTAATTAAAAGTTTACAAATTTATGTTAAAACTTATTTAATATATATATATATGTAACATTTATTTTCAAACACCATTGCATCATTTAACCCATTAAGTTACCCCTACCAATCATTTTACAAAATGATGGTGTAGTCTAGTAACGGTTTAACTTCCCACAGTCATAACCTGCCTTCTTAAGATATTGACCAGCCATGAACGTAGGCAAGATGTTTTCCCTTAAAAAGGTAACCAACTTGGACTCAGCCTGCTGAATAGAACCCAACATGTAAGCTGTAGTAGTAACATCAACTGCTCTCCATCTTCTCTCCTTTGCATATTTCTTCAAACTTTCCTCAATCTTCTTAAAATGCACCTCTTCTTCCTCTTTCTCTTTCGAAAATGCCTCAGCTAAGCATCTTGCCAAAACAATCCCATCCTCCAAAGCACAACACGCTCCCTGCCCAAGATCAGGAGTCATCGGGTGCAGAGCATCTCCACCAACACAAACATTGCCCTTACTAATATTCCCCATCATCAGATCCCATGTTTGTCTATATCTCAGTGCATACGATAGAAAACCATCTGCATCTGTTATTTCTATGCAGGCTCTAACAGCACTCGGCATGTTCTCAAGATTTTTTAACACAAATGGTTTCAATTTAGCACGATCCTCTTTCAGCTCCTTTAGCTCTGCAGGGCCAACAAATTAATCAATCGTATCACATCTTTTACAATATAAGTTTCAAGTTAAGAACTTGCATTTAAGAAAAATCACCTTGGCTGGAGGGTATACAAGTGAAAAACCAGTGGACCTGTTTTTCATTACAAGGAACAACACCAACTCGAACACCATTGCCAAAAAACTGCATGAACCTCAGCTCCAATCCATGGTTGGTCTCGAACTGTGCAAAACCCCTGATTGCAAATCTCCCAGTAAAAGACGGCTCCTTGAAGCCTAGCCATTTTGCCACCAGGGAGTTCACTCCATCACACCCAATCAACACCTGTTACCATCAAAACATCCTCGTATCAGTTGGAGTTTACCAACTTCGATTCATAACAGTTGTTTCTCTTTACACATCACACTTACTATTTACCTTGGTTTTGATGGTTGTCCCGTCAGCAAGATGGAGTATCTTATAGAAACCAGATTCCTCAAAACCAACAACTTTTGAGGAATATCTGATGGTTTCTTTTGGAAGCTCATTCACAAGGACTTCCAACACTTTTGTTCTTTGAACACAACGAATTTCAATACCTCTACAACATCACAAGAACACCGATCATAGAAAGAATTTGGATAATTTAAACATTTAGCCACACTGATTCACATGGTATACATACTCTTGGCTTTCTGTGGATTTGAAAGACTTGGCTACTATTTGTTTCCCAGTAACCAGTGAAGTGGTGACAATCCTGTAGTCCAATTCTTGCATTAGAGAAAATGAATGATACTAAGAAGAAAATTTAAAAGATGTTTGTGCATACCCATGAAGTCGTTGATGGTTGCGGCGGAGTTTGTCTCCAACACCGACAGCATCCAAAGCCTTCCAAGCATTTTGCCACAAGGACAAAGAAAAGCCAGTGACCCTCAAAGTATCCGAAGATTCCAACACCAAACTTCGAATACCCAATCTGTGAGTATGAATGAAGAGTTGTGATACATAAACACAGTACATGTGTATATACACTATTGCGCGGCCTTTTATGGCACTAATATGCTCACACAAAATAATACAATTTGAAGTTCAAGTCCTGGTTTTGTTACCATTTAACTAATTTCTTGTGTAATCCAAATATTTATATTCCTTAAAAATGTTGTTTCCTATATTATGAATCACTAAAAATATATAAATAAATAGGGAATTTAAAGCTTAATAAAAATATTGATTTTGAAGTATAAGTGACTGTCAAAGTTTATACGATCATTTAACTTATTTTGCAATGTATTTAACAACATTTTTAATTAATATAACCAATTTAACTTAAATGTTTTTATTCATTAACAAGGTATTGTTTTCCAAATGAATCACTCAAAACTATTCCAAAATTAGGAAATTAAAAACTTAAGAAATATTGATTTTGGAGTTCAAGTGTTTGTCTGATTTTACATTACCATCTAACCAATTTCATAGTATATTTAACCATTTTTTTTAACTAATTTCATCAACTATTGTGTAATTTAAATATCCACGTTCCTTAAAAATATTGTGTTTCTTAGACTATGAATCACTAAAAATATATAAATAAGTAGATAATTTAAAGCTTAATAAACATTGATTTTGAAATATAAGTTTTTGTTAGAGTTTATA